AATTCTCACCATGCCCATCTTCCTTGGATTCCCATCATGAACAATTTCCATAGATTCTCACGATAGCCAATTCCTACCATGCCCACATCGAATTCACACCGTTCCAACTCTTCAAAGATTCCCACGATGCCCAATTCTTACGATACACAATTCACAACATGCCTACCTTCCTTCGATTCCCACCATGCCCACTTCTCATAGATTCCGTTTAAATCCACGATATTACATATAAAAAACGCGGAAAAACTCAAAGTTGACCGTTACGGCATCAATGATCGACCCAATGCAACTATACCTGGTGCCATATTGGGCCACTCCTGTTACTTCTGCATTAGTAAACGGGGTGTAAACAAATATATAGTATACGAAGTATCAAAATGAAATTTGATATTGGTATATGGTATGTGAAGACAACAGTTTTCGCATAATTTTCACTTCCGGGTCACTTCCGGTTTTGAATTTTTAAATGGGATACCCTGTTTATTATAACATATTCGAATTTTCGAGACAATTCTGGATCAGAATATGACATTTTCAGAAGTTTTTACGTCTACTTTATTTTTACAAGTTGAAAAAGTTTAATTTCCGTGTCTAATTGTTTTTCGTGCACTGTAATGTGAAAAGAGTACTTCGTATCCTCTATACAACCCTTGATTACTTCCGAATTTGATATTCCAAAACTACAACAATTGGTATTGGTAAGTGTGGATGCTGACAGATGCGCTGCGACCTGATCTATTGTGCCCCATCTTCTGCTATCTCAAGGTTTTATTGTTTATAGCAGCCCCTCAAGCTTCAATTCTTTCAGGAATCTGATGATTTTGAGGGGATCTGTTTGTGGTATTTCTTCCACGGTCAGCTGGTATGCTCCCAGTATATTCGATTTTTTGTGGTGTACAGCAAAACACTCCAGCAAGGTGTGCTGTCCTCCTCTAAGCCAAGCTTCCTTAGGTGTTCTTTGAGTCTACAATTCCCCTTTAGAAATTCCGTTATTGCTTTGAGACTAATTTTGCTGAGATTGATCAGTGTCCTCGATCTTGCTCGGTTGAAATTTCCGAGGAGATCTACGACAATAGCAATGTTATTCAGTGTCAGATCATATTTTCGTTTAGTCAAGAACTGTCAAAATATTTTGTATTCATTCGGAATGTCATTCCAGGTATATATTTGGTTCGAAAATAGTGTTTTTCTGCAATCGGCTCAAAAGTCGTCCATTTTTGTTCCAAAATTAGATCTTGAAGTTGACACTTCTAGTGTCTAGGAGCTAAAGTTGAAGTTAAACTCCTTGGAACTAAAAACGTGTCAGATGACTGCTGATATGATGGCTGTTTCGACACTGAAATGCTCAAGTGACCCAAAATAGTGTTATTCTCACTCATATTTTATGAATTAGATATCAATCATTTCGATAGCAAAGGTAGGGTTATTTAATATGTTTTGAAAATTGTAACGCCTGGGACTATCGAAAATAGAAATGGCTGCCGTATCTTTTTCATTTCATCCTGTATAAAATTTTCAATATCCTTCACCATAAAGTACTCAAAAAATAAAAACGAAATCGGAAAATTTTCAATTTCTCCCTGTATCTCTGAAACGGATGAACATATCAAAATTCCAATTACGCCATTTCAGGTTTATCTGAAATCGAACCCGTAACATGTTCATCAGTTTTTCGATAACTTCCTTAGTTATTGAGATATCCCGTGAAAACGCCCAATATTGCCCACCCTGTACAGTGCTTTCGGAAAGTACTGAGTAAATTCATATTTAGCCAAACTATCCATTTCTGAGAAATATCCTGAAACAGGTCGATTTTTATTCTCAATTTTCCACATTTATAAGGAAACATTGAATATACAGGGTGATTCTCGTTTGAGATATGACGTCCGCGAAAATTTTATTTAGTGAAACACCCTATAAATCATTCGAATCTTGGAATCTCCATGGAAAGCTGAATTCAAAAATGTAATACTCATACAGTTTGTATACATACAGTGCTTCCCCTAAATTGAGCGCTTTTGAAAAGGTGTGGATAAATTCGTTGAAAATTATAGGAATAATTTTTCGAAAGAATTCTCGAAGCTGTAGAATATAATTTTCATTCGAGCTATCTTTCAAATCCAATCAATGCATACAGAATGATTCGTGTAGGAGAAATCACGTCATCGGTATTTTTTTATGGCGGCTCCATTTTACGAGAGCATTGAATTTAACGGACACCCTGCATACAAACCCTATGTGTGATACCTACTTTCTAATCTTCAATACTTTTCAATCCACCTTCTCAGAGATTCAAAAATTTTTATAACATGAAAGGCGTTTGAAAAATTTTTCGAGGACGTTATAACTCAAACGTGGATCACCCTGTATATTTGATTTTTTCCTTATGAATGTGTCAAATTGAAAATTAATTTATCTACTACTTCACAACAGCATTGAATTTATTGGACGCACTCTATACCAACAACATTTTCAAAAAATTCAGTAATATATGGGGTGTTTCATTTGAAAAAATTGTCGTGGTCATTATAACTCAAACGTAAATCATCCTGTGTATTTTATTTTTCATTATAAATGTGGAGAACTGAAAATAAAAATCGATCTGATTCAAAAGATTCTTCAGAAATATTTGGCTAAAATAGTTATTTTTGTGCAATCGACACACAATTCGTCCATTTTATATCCAAAATTAGCTCTTGAATTGACGTTGCAGGGTAACACTTCTAGTTCCTAGGAGATGAAGTTGAACATTAGCTCCTAGGAAGTAAAAAGGATGTACTAGGTCATCAAGAATAAACAACATTGTTACGGTTGGTAATTTGGGTTGGGACGTATACTTGGTTTGTTTCTTATTTCGGCAGATTTGGCATCTATCTAGACGCTCCGCCTCGCAACTGCAAAATTCGCTAGTCAAACAATGTGTCACTTTTCCCAATAAAAAAATCTACTATTATACACCAAGGTATTAAAGAATATCAGTCTTACCCAGGGAATAAGATTATATGCCGAGGCTTCGGCCGTCCTCTGATGGTGAGAGAAACATCCTGTAGATCATGCCGTAGAAAATGTTTATACATTTCCCTGTTCAAATTGTCTAGGAAAAAATGTGGTTCTATTAAATATCTGTCAATGGGTCCCATCAACACATTAACAGAAAACTTCCGTTGGGAACTAGTTTCCCTTGTTGAACGAGGGTTTTCTTCGTTTCAATGATGGAGGTTATAAAAATTTGTTATGCTATTTGAATGCCTCGAGCAAATAAACGAAAATGAATACGGATAGGCATTTTTCAAGTGTGTTTGATACTATTCCTTTGAAATAACAAATCCGTATCAAGCACTTTCAGTTTCATTTGTACCCAGTTGAAAAGCTATTGCCTCAAGGAAGTTTCAAAGAATTTTTGACAAATGTGGCTTAGAGATTTTTTTAAAAATAACTGCTAATTGGCTGAAGGACCTCGGTCGATGGCCTTTTGAGTATTTATACTCAATAAAGTTCATTTTGTTGTTGTTGTTGTTGTTGTTGTAACTGCTAGAATGTGGTGAAAACAACAATTCACAAACGAAAATACGACTTTGTATCTACAATTTATCTATGATCTGCATAATTTCTGTAATTTCGCCATTCCAAACCATAGTGTTGATCATGTATTCTAGTTGAAAGTTTGAAAAAATGTAAAGCAAATTTTCTGGAAACTAACTTTCAAACCCCTGAAGTCCACCTTTTGGAGAAAAACAAACAAATTTAAATATCTCAAAAACTATTAACTTTTGCATAATGCAAATTAGGGTATAATTTACTCCTTACCACCTTCTCACATCTCGAATCCAATGTATCGAATTACCAGTAACCCTGTATATTTATATCTGCAATATTTCATCCCCTTGATATTTGAGTATTTCATTATTATGACCAAGATCTATAACCCCAATTCATTCTCACCACACGGATTATTTGTTGCATTGCATACATATGGCACGGCATCCCCGTTTCGGGTATAGTATTGAATTCGTGCCTGTATCTGATGATGCGTGTCAAAACAAATTGTAACAAAGTAAAGTCATCGCGTCCACCAATATCCTAATGTAAATTAATCTGAGGTCTTGCTTGCTTGCTATTATTATAAAGGCATTATAATATTCTGTCAAGTAAGTCAGATTGGTGGTTACTTCACATATTTATCTCAGTTAATTCTTTCGGTTGCAGAAAAATAGCATGTTTTATTCGGATCAAAAGTGACTTTGTTTGAATCGCGAATTTTGCTTTCGCTCGGCTTCGATAGGCGCTTCGCCTCGCAAATGCAATGATTTAAAAAAACAAAATTATGAATGAACGATTAGCACAATAAACCTGTTAGAGAGAATCTAGGAGAAGTGGGCATGGTGAGAATTGGGTATCGTTAGAATTGGGCATCGTGGGAATCTGTGAAGAGTGGGCATGGTGGAAATCCAAGAAGAGTGGGCATGGTTGGAATTGGGTGTCGTGGGAATCTATGAAAAGTGGGCATGGTGGGCATGGTGTGAATTGGGTTTCGAAGGAAATGGGAATCTTGAGAATTCATAAAAAGTGGGCATGGTGGGAATCCAAGGAAGGTAGGTATGGTGAGAATTGGATATCGTAATAATTGTGCATCGTGGGAATCTATGGAAAGTGGGCATGGTGGGAATGCAAGGAAGGTGGACATGGTGGGAATTGAGTATCTTAGGAATCTATGAAAAGTGGACCTGGGTATCTTATGTTTTCTGATTTTTTCTTATAACCTGGCAATGGTGCGCTCTTCGGCAATCTTCGTAATCTTCGACATAAGGGCATCGTGGGAATTGGGCATCGTGGGAATTGGGCATTGTGGGAATTGGGCATATTGTAAATTAGGCATCGCCCTACGTACCTTATATTTTGATATTTACGTTCTCATGAATTGATCACCCTATACTGCTTCACAATTTTGTCATTCATATGTCACTGTTATGATTTTTTGAAAGCAAATCAAATAATTTCAGGTCCATCCTTGGGTGAACTACGAGCAAATCCTGCAAAAATGTCTCATCGGCAGATTGGTCTCTATTGATCCATCCATAAACACAAATGATTTATTTTTCGGTAAGAAAGGCAACGGCCAAATAACAAAAAATAATTTGAAAGCTGCAAAACAAACAAGAATTGAAGAAACTGAAGATACACTGGACAAATCATCGTCGACGCAGGTAGCTGCTTCAAGTTCTGCTGTAGTAGAAGAAGTTACCTTCCACTCAGAAGTGAAATCTGTGATAAATCAAATAATAGAAGATATTCCAAGTTTACCAAGATTTGATTGGATTCAGAAACTAGACTATATCACCATCATATTTTACACTAGATCTTTCTCAAATCCTATGGTAGAAATATTCCCTCCAACTCCGGGACAATCGATAATAGTCGTCCTAGCCTACGATTCAACAGCATTTAGAAATGAATTAGTGTTTTATGAAGCCATTGAATGGCCTTGTACAACCAAGGTAACTTGCGAGACAGGCAAGGTTGAGTTGGTGTTCCGAAAACGTGATACGAGGATTTGGGCGAATTTTGGGGTGTTGCGACAAATGAGTAAGAGACTGGATACTGTTAAATGTTTCAAGTGCAACTTCGTGTATAGGGACAAGCTTCAGTTGAATCATAATTTGTTTCTTCTGAGATTGGAAAGGACTGACGGAGCAAAGATTGTGATGCCGATTGGACAGCATTCCAGATTTACCGTGAATATTGATGGTTAGTTAATTATACCTATAGATTTTTTATTATTGAGGATGGAAAACGAAATTTGGTGCTATGTATTATAGTTCAATTTTTATCTGTCGTACTCCTAGTTTGGCCGGAAATGAGCCCACCTTTGGTTTTTCAAATGGGACACTCTGTATAGTTTTACGCATTTCGATCAAGAATGACATGCTGAATCCAACAATACCTTGCCAATATTTGACAAATGAAGTAATTTTTTTTTAATTCCTATTTTTTGATCTAGAATGCTATGGATCTTCTAAAACGCTTCACCCTTCATCAAATAACATGGGAAAAATATGACATTGGGGCTTATGACTTCACAGTCATTTCCAGAATCAATTGAAAGCCACAAATATGATTTTTTCTAGTCAACTTAATTTTTTCAAATGGAAAGGGGGTGAGTCGTCGGCTTTTTGTTTGGTTTGGTTTTCTTACGAATAATATGATACCACGCACTTCCACTTTATTTTCACTATTTTTCTGAATAATTGCAAAAAGCGATCATTCCTACTAATAAATAATACTGTGAATGTTGCTCATACTCCTTGCATTCTCCTCTGAAATGATCTAGCATATCTAATCAGTTCTCTTGTAAGCTCTTAGGATAAACAAAGCACTTCCAGGAATCAATGATCTGTGATAAAAACTCACTGTTCCCTTTTGGGGGTAAACCTTCTCCCTGACTTTCGAGCAAGTTTATCAGCTCATTCAAGATTTTCTACATCATCTGGCTGATCTCATTCATCTTTAGCGATCACTGCCCCAGATTTTTTAATATAACTCAAGTTCCCAGAATCAGTTTTTTTTATGTGGGAAGTAAATGTATTAGAATATGTTCCAATATTATTCTCGACAAAACGCCCACTCAAAATGATCAAGGAAGATGTCGATTTTTCCTTTCTAAAGCAATTCTGAAAGATACGAGAATCAAGTCCCTGAAGAACATTCAAGATATTATTTAAATAACCTCTAGTATGACCATATTCTTCGATTGTTTCGTCAGACTTGTGCTTGAAATGAGACCTTCGGATAGTTCAGTAAAGAAGTAGTGGGCTTTTGTTCTAGGTGAAAAGGTTCAATCAAAGCAAAACGATTTATTAAAAATTCGACGTATAATTTTCACAAGTCTAGTCGAAAATAACAGAAGACGAAAGGCTACCCTGTTTCCTCTCGCACTGACTATCTCGTTCTCGTCCATAATCACCAACCCTCTACAAAACCACGCACACAATTGGGAATTGTGAAATAGTAAAACTAGTCTATGCGCACTCTGTACCTCCGCTCTGTACCATACATCATTATGGTGGGTTATTAAAAATAACCATCACAAAAGACTGAATCTAAGTGATGCATTAGAAGTTCAAGAGCCCGTGAACCTTTTATATAACGGTTTGTCTGTAAGACTAGAAATTTGTATAGTGACGAATCAAAAGATGTTGAGTACGAAAACCATGACCTGGCAGGCCTCACCCTTACACGTCATCATCCCCCATATTTTTCAAAGTGTGAAAATACATTTTTCTACTCACATAACTGAAATGGCACTTAGCGTACGGATTTATACCACGCTAAATGATTGATTAATCACGGATTGATGATCTGTGATTTATTCAAAAAATTAGACACGTTACCATGACAAGACAATTTCTTGAACACATTACCATGGCAACAGAGTTTTTTAACACACCTTCAGTCGTTCGAGTCCTGTCTGGCCTGTCTATTGTAGGAACTGTCAACTGTCATTTTAGAATTTTGTTGCAATCAGAATTTGTATCAGGATTCTTCATTAAAAATGTATGCGAAATGTAGACGAGAGTTAAATCGAAGAGAATGTTCTAGGTGGGTAATTGCATATTTCCAAGAACTATAGGTTAAAATGAAGCTCTCATCTTTGTGGCCAATTTAATCTATGCGAAGCATGACAATAAACGAATATGGATACAAACCTGAGAAATGGAAAACTTCGACAACCCAGCGAATCGAAGAATTTTCATCTACTACGTCAGATAAAATCTTGTCAAAAAGGTCAGTAAACAAGCAATTTTGATAGAAATCATGTATCCTATAAACTGGACGCACATCTTCAACCAATATAACATACTTTTCTCGTTGGTTTCATGTAGTTGCATAGTATTATGTATTGTCTTCAATTCCCATTCCCTTAGAATTATTTTGTAGGTTAGCAGGTTGGTTAATCTAATTTTTGGAATTATGGGATCTTGTCCAAGAAAGGAATTATGAGTTCGTAATAAAAGTATAGAATGTAACGCGTTTATAAACTCTTTTAGAAACTCGTTTATTGAACACTCGCTCCGCTCTGCTGCGCTCGTGTTTAAAATAAAGTTTGCTGCCCGAATATTTTCGATTTATATCTGATAATGAAATTATTTGGATGGATACATTGTTGCTGCCGGTAAGATGATTTCAATTGACCCCCTTAGGAGGGTAGTTAACTCGAGCTGTTTTTCAACAATTCTTGCTGCCCGGGCATTTCTGGTTCGAATTTCTGCTCCAAATTATATATTTGGACATCTCATGGATATTCAGTTGCTATCAATAAAATAATTTCCATCCACCCCTTAACTTCCCTATTGTGTAGATACGAGCAAAAAAAAAGATATCATTTGATTCGACAATCTAAAATAATACACTTGCCCCTGCTTATCCATTATTTCAGATACATATTGAGTACATTTGTGTTAGTTGATCATTTTGGCATAAAACCGTGTTGATATGTGGATATAATATTTACAGTACTGTTTTGGATATGATTATGTATCACTGCCCAGCCAACTATCAGATGAATAAATGAAGTTTAGTATGCTCGACATCAGTTTGTGACATGCGATATCGCATTTGAAGTCAAAACATGATACCGATACAACGTGGTGATGTGAAAATATCCGACTCAAGGAACATCACTGTGACGTCGTTGAGACATGAAATGCAGGCATCACATAGAAAATCACTTACAGGCGTAAGTGTACATTTTATATTACAAACACTTCACACTACAACATCGATTAGTGTTCCGAACATGTGATATTTGTGGGATAGATAATCATAATAATTCAACTCAACGGAGACAATCTGTATTTTCCGAAAGTAAATACAGATTATACAAAACTTGTTATGACTATTTCACTCATCACATGATCTGACCAATCAGAAACCAGAGACAGCATTTATGTTTTCAACGATGTAACCATGGATAGCAAATCAAAGTCTGGATGTAACCATGGATAGCGAAGCAAAGTCTGTCAGTTTTACATAACATAATTGTGTCTGTACTTGGCTGAATGATTCACTCATTCATAATAAATTATCTGTATGCTTCTTGAACGTGAAATCGTCTAGCAAAATACCACTATGTTCTGTATATCTTCTTATAATTATGTCTTTCATTGTTAACTCAATTGTATTGTTCGGCAACATAATTTCGTGAACAATGAAGCAACAGAAGTACTTATCTCGAATATTCAGAAAATCGTGATATTTTCTTTACTTTTATTTCATGACTATTGACTATAATTGAGATGAAATAATTACAATATTGTTGTTGTACTCACCATCACTCCTGAATAGTTGTATAGTTTGAAGCTGATATGTCCTATAAGTTTGTGCTATACAGTCTGCTGTGCGGAATCGGACTATCGGACGACGAAATCGAAGAATCAACAAACAATTAATAAGCAGGGCGTGATACACATGACATGGCCACATCTTAACATGGCTTCTGGCGTTTGCGTTCGTTCTGCGCATGTCTGCATCACACTCACAGGCCACAAAAATGTCTTATTAGGATATCAATATGAATTATTCAGTTAACATCGATTAGATGTACTTTAATGAATGTCCCTGCCATATTACATATTCTCCTGGTAATATAACCTTGTGACTATGATATCGAATCTACGTCGATTAGATGGGTCAACGAGATATTGCATTTATGTAAGGTTGTAACATCACACTGATATTGATGTCGCACGATGGTTGGCTGGGTACTGCAAAAATCTTTGCGCGAAGTTGTATAGGAAGGACACTGGTCTATAGTTTTCTACTTTTGCTCTATCGCCAGCCTTGAAAATAGGACATAACTTCGGAATTTTCCATTTACAGGGAAAATTGGTAGTTTTGAGAGACGTATTGAACAGTTTCATGGGTGGTTTAGCCAATGCAAATCTACAATCGTTAAATGCTTTTATAAGATCTGCACCAGGTGTCATTTTTATTTTTGAGTTCTTTATGGCATTCTCTACTTCGTTGACAGTTATATTTCTAATGTATTGATCATCATTCATATCATTATTTCAATCCTGGCGTTGATGGTGGTGGTGGTGACATTGTCGTAAACAATTTTACCCGGAGTTCTGGATTGTTGTTTGTGTATAAATGACTAACATTGTTTTGGATGACTATGTTACGAAGTCACTAAAATTTTGATTCAGATAGCATACGCCTGAGAAAGCTGTTGTCCTGGTTGAAGACCTTCGGTCTTCCAGCAGGTTATCTAAAGAGTGATTAGTTTTCTTAGAACATTTCCTCGATCAACCGAGTTAACAACCGGATATAAAAAGGGTTCTGGAGACTGAGTCGGAACTACCGTGTTTCAACCGGTTCCAGAATCAGAGGGTTTCGAATCAAGTTTTGAATGAAAAAATGAATTATTACCCGGTAGTATTAGATAGTGACAAGCAATGCCAGTAGATAACATATGTCACTTTGTTCCGCGGGTAAACACGACATATAAGGGGTGATCATAGCAGCGCGACGTATATGATTTAACTGTACAGAATGGAGGTTGTAGGGTTTTTTGAATATATTCAATACAGGGTGGATTATAGGTTTTTGTAAATATAGGATATAGAGAGGTAGTTATAGTTCTCTATTCAAGTTTTAATTGTATGATATTGGGAGTTGTAATAAATCAGATATTCTGATTCCTTTGTTTTCTTTATCGTTCATTTGTTTGACTTCACTTGAGCAAC